GGGGCGATGGCATATGTAGTCACATGCCAGACTTCCATTCCTCCCTTTCTTCTCTTCTTCCTTTCTTTCTTCCTCCCTCCTTCAATGTTTCTACCTCCCTTTCTTCTCCTTCCACTCTCCCTCCCTCCAGCTATGACAAGCCAGAGTTCAAGGTGGTAGAGAAAGAGAATGGGGTCGACAAGCCATTTGCCACTAGGCATCCTCAGTGACAATATATGTAATTCTTTTCTTACTGTATAGTGTTAGTGTAATACTTTTACTTTCTCCCCTCCCTCTCTGTTGATCTTCTCTCTCTATCTTATTTCCTGTCTACCCCCCTCACTCCTAACCAAGGAGATGTAATGGGTATCTAGAGGTGGAATGAAACCAATACTATGCTCTAAGATGTCGCCATGGGAGCAAGACTGGGAAGAACGAGGTACAGTATAATTTCAGTGAAAACGTGGGCGTCCTAAGATCACCAAATCTGCTGGTCAGCATTTTCCATTGTCCTGTTGATCCATAGTGCGAAGAAGGAACCCTTTCCAGCCTTCCCCCAAAAGGCTTCATTTGGGCTACACCATCTTTACTGAATCTCAAAATTTTCGCCTGGGAGAGTTTACCGCTTTAGAGTATAATTAATGAGTTTTCTCTGTCTTTCACTATTCTCATACCCCTTTTCCCTCGTTCTCTCCCTCCCCCTACCCTCTTTCTCTCTCCTCCTTTTCTCTCCCCTTTCCCTCTCCTTGCCACAGTCCCTACATGCATAGCTGAGGCTGAGAATGCACATAGGTGGTGGCGGCGTGCTGACTGTGTGAGTTTTCCCATTGTTTGTGCCTATGCAATTAGCTTGTGTGTACATATAATGTACTTTCTAGTCTGATTCCAAAGCTGACCAATTAGACACCAAAACTTCATTAACAACATTACTACTGAATGCTGTATGTATGCGTCTATGAGTATACTGCCCTTACCACACTGTTTGTGAGGCTACCCAGTTTTCAGGCTCTGATTCTTATGTGTACTATATACTTGCAGAGGAGGTGAGACACAGAATCTATGACGTAAACCTTTTTTCTGACTCAGTGTGCTGACTATCCCTCTCTCTTCCATCTTCCTTCCTCCTCTCTCCCTCCCCCTCCCCATCCCCCTCCCACTTCCTTATACATATAGCCTGAAATGAGCTAAGGAATACAGCCCTTCACTGACCACTCTGCCGATGATAAAGGCCACTAGTAGGTTGAGTCTACATTCAGTGCTTCACCCAGGAGTTCTTGCAAGAGGTTGGTCAATGTCTTTGTGCATGTCTTTCGATATATACACCTGATGCCAGCTATATATCGCATGACACACGAGTGCAAGCCCTAATGGGTAGGTACTAAAATGGCACCACTATGTAGTACTAATTGGGCTGGAGAGAAGACCCAATGGAGACTCCCTCTCCTAAAGCCTATATAGCTAGGGCCTTTCGAGCGCTGAAATCCACTCGGGCTAGCTGCTTGAGCTCTCCGGAGGCAGCTATGTCAATCCGGTACTCCTCATGATATGATAAAACAGGAAAAATGTGTGTTTGTGGAGCCTCCGAGTGTTCTCCCCAGGCTTAGCGCTCTGCTATGCGTTATCCACGAAGGGGATATGGGCCGCTAAGCGTTCGTGCGTCAGGTTTTACGTGTGCGCATGTGCGTAAATCATTAACCACACCCATTTCAGGTGTGGTTTTGGCTCAACACGGAGAAGACCAGCGGTATGGCGAAGCGGCCTGCAGGTAGCGCTACTTGTGAGAGCTCCGTGCGTTGTAAACATAGAAAAACCGGTATTGATCCTAGATGGGCTAGTGATTTTCCTTGGATGGTCATAGTTGATAGTGAAGAGTGAAGGGGAGGGAATGTTATGTGTGCTCGTTCGAAAGCATAATCGTCGCCCTGGAAAGGTTCCTGTTGGCAAGGCGATCTGGGTCGATCTTCCATGTAAAAATCGAACGCATCAGAGTCTGGTAAACCATCCAAAAAGTGCAAGTCACCAGCTTGCTGTTAGGATAGAGATCTCTCGTTGGAACGGCGCGGCGGGGACAGTGTTAAAGATAATGTGCCACCTCGACACATTTACACTTGAAGTTTAGCTACCTGGAGATACCAAATCAAGCTTGTATGTACTTGACTATGTAGGCCTACATACAGGCCTACAAAAATAAAAGTAGACAGCCATATTTAGGGAAGGGGGAATACGTACGTCTGGGCACACTTGCACGCAGGCTGTTTTATAGTGTGCCTTATGCCAGCATGTCACGCTAATAAGGGTTTGTGTGCTAATCTATCCTACAGGATCACGGTCCCATGATGAGGAAATGATTACCAATACTTGGCCAGCCCTGCACTCCTCTGCTGCTACTGGTGAGTCTCAACCATTCGTTGAATCGACTGACATGCTACCTTGTCAAATGCAAGCTCTCTGTCCAAATTTTATCCCGAGTGTCGCATGCTTTTGAGATGTAGGAGCATGTGGAAGAGGGAAGCCTCAAACTGGCAAACAAGAAACTGTTGTTGCTGGTGTGTTGCTGTAGCTGTTGGATAATTGAGAGTGCTAATAATTGGTGGTTTGCTCTGTACTAGATCAAGCAATTTTGGCGAGTGAATGTGTGTGTGTGTGTGTGTGTGTGTGTGTGTATTTTCATGTGCGATAAGTACTGCACTGTGGAAAACCGTGCAATTCAGACAACTAGCCTTCGGTATGATATAAGTTATAATGTGTACTTTCTCATGCTTTCTTTCTCCTGTTTCTTTCAGTGTGTCGCTGAGCAAGCAAGGCTTGGAAGAACAAAGAAAAAGGAGTAAGTCAGAGAAAGCATAGATATGTTTGCTTTCTTGTCCTAAAAATTAATTTTTGGTTCGATGAGGACTTGAAGCTCCATCATACCTCAAGGACACCCCTGACCTCTCTATAATAGCAGTTCTTGCATGCTGCGTGTTCTTTATGGTTGTTACTTCATGTGAGAGTCACGAAATATGCAACCTTCTTTATCAACCAAACTGCGAAATTGTAATTGCCGTTGCCATTTGTACCATGGGGACTTGACTGACCTGCTCGTCTCTCCCTTTCCCTTGTCGTCCTCTTTTCCTCTCTCTACCTCTATCTCTGTCTGTCTGTCTCTCTGGTTCCATTCAGCAGAAGAAGGTTCCTGGTTCAACCAACAGCTCTACTACTGTCCTGTCACTGGCCAATAACTATGGAGAGCCCTAGTGGTGGGTCTTTATCTATTATAAAGTTTGCATGTGGCAGCTCCGGCCCACACACATATAGCATCGCAAGACTCATTGTCTGGATCCATAATTATTATGTCCTATTTTGTATGTGTAAAGGCTTTGTGCTATATAGCACATGCTCTAAGAGTGATTGTGGCTAGGTTGCCGGCGCAGTAGACACACACACTCATATGCACTAGCCTCGTCCCCAGCCTATTTTGTGGGAGGGGAAAAGAGCCTGGTGCAGACTGTATGCACATGCATTTATAATCTCCAAGGAATTCTGTGGCCTCCGGATACTTTCGCTGCATGTCCATATCCAATGAGTCTGGCGATGCTGTATACAAACAAAACATCCAAGCCTCGTCCTAGGGTTACTTTTCCAAACCCAAAACTTACGCCTGAACACTCCTGAGCCAAGGCTATCGTATGCACATGTCTTTCTACACACTCTGGTCACCATCAGAGTCAGTGGTGTAGATGTGTACTTACACACATGGCAGACATTGAATGACATTACTTTCTACTGTAATTGGTGAGTGGCACAGAGATCAGAGAAACACTACACGTACTGCTGGTTGTAGGTATGTAGCACTGAGCCTAAAAAGACTGTCCAGTAATGCCTGTGTAAGGCAGCTTGTGACTGTCTCAGCACAGGTAGGGCAGTAGGCGCCACATTCTGCGTTGCTGTGGGTCACACTTTCACGTGCACAATGTATCCTGTAACCATAGCTCCATGCCTCATATTCTTGCCCTTATCCTTACTACTAAAGTACAGCAATACAGGATATTATAGTGTGGCTCTGTGGTCTATGGTTAACTGCAGGTTGCTACTTGTGAGGCCACTCCCATATAGATTGGCAGCAATGACAAAAACCACAACAGTTCCTGCTCACTTTTAGTATATAAGGGAGGGCTAGCATCCCTGGCTAAGCTGGCATTTCTTGCTAACTAAATGAAAAGCACTAAAGTGCAAACCCTCGGCGAACTGCGCATGTGCGGTACCACTAATTGATGGGCTGGGTTTTTTATGCCTTTACTCATGGTATCCCGCTAGTAGCTCGCGGAGAGTCTGGCACGGGCTAGCTACAGTAGTAAATAGCATGCGTGAGTCGATATATGCCCTTCGTTGTGACTTGTTGTGCCTTTAAGACACACAGAGCGAACGGACGCGGTCGAGGTAAGCCTGTGCTAATTTACATATTGGCTTGTTCACTTGGTTTTCACGCCATAACTTTAAAACACAGTAGTTTTACGAAAATCGCCTTTTTTAAAATCAACCCAGTGTAGCACTGAACCCGATCATATCGTTATTTACCTGATTTCGTGCGCGCGGTGGCAGAAAACGTGGTAACAGACAGACAGACTGACAGACAGACAGACAGACTGACACACTTACGGGACAACTACCGTAACCCTCGCTGCGCATGCGCGCCGAGGGTTAACAATAGGTTTTGGGGAGGACCTATAATTTTTGGAGGCCGTTAGCCCGGATGATGGCCCTGTAACACCACCCAGTGGGCACACCCCCGCCCTTCATTGGGGTGCTCCTGTTGTGTGTGTGCAAGGCCTAGGGTTAATAGCCACTGAATTTTATTACACAATGCAGGTTGGTGCCCCTCCCTGGACTCCTACCTTGTGTGCCCCACACACTTATTCTGTGACTTTCCCCTCCTCTCTTCTCTTACAGGCTAGTGTGTGAGTCTGAGCATGTCATTCGTATGTATTTTGTACAAAATAAAGGGGGAAACCTTGTGTCCAAGAAGCCTAGGATTGTGCAATTGAGTTTTAGTAGTTAGCCTAACTGTCCTGACCTATTGCCGCTATCTTGTGTATCACGAGCAGCTCTGCTCAACATTGCTACTGGTGAGCTACAAATTTCGTAATACGTATACCAAAATCCACTGCTACCTCATAAGGATATGTCCATTCTGTCTGTTAGTGTTATATTTATGTTCTCTTGTGCATGGTTTTTTTGTAAGCCAGTGTCGTTTGATATTTGCAGCTTCAAAGAAGACACCTCCACCATTCTAAATTTAGTACATATAAAATTTGTTTCTATATATACTCACTGATGTCATAGCATGTTAATGCAGTTTTGTGAGTGATTTTATGTCCATATTCTGCGATGTCCATATTCTGCAGGTTCCTTTCTGACTGATGATATACGGAGGCTTGTGTATTCCTAACTACTCGACATTGAGCCTTCCTCCTCCTCCTCTTCATCGTCATCTTCGTCGTTTTCGAGCGTCCACGCTTTCTTTCTCTCTTCCTCCATCTTTTCCCTCTCCAACTCCTCGTCCTCCTGCCGTTGTTTACGCCATGCCTCGAGGCGTCCGCGTCTCTTCTGCATCTCCTCTTCCAGCCTCTTCCGCTCCGCTTCAACTGCAGCTATGATCCCCTCTTTCTCGGTCTCCATTGTTTCACTTCCGCTGTCCGCCTCCTTTTCTTTCTCTTTTGTCACCACAACCCGAGACACCGTCACTACTTTTGGTTTTTTACCGCCGCCATCTTCTTCCTTTCCCCCCGACCCATCTTTATCCCTGCCCTCCTTGTCTTTCATATCGGTTACTTCACCATTTGATTTCGACTCAGCCTGAGACCGCTCCTTCTCCTTGTACTGCTTATCTCGACTTCTGTCACCGCTCCTACTCCTGCATATTTTACAAGGAAAATAGCATACATACATGTATGTATGCCACATTGAGAATTGTAAGTGCTTGGTTTGAAATTGTAGTACATAAAGCATGTCAGCACAAATTTTGCAGGCTTGAATCTTACAAATTGTAGCACACACTACTCTAAACAATGTGCTCAAAACGCACCTGGAGCGAGAGCGGCTCCTCCTGCGTTTCTTGTCTCTGCTCCTTCTGACTCTGTCTCTGCTCTCAGACCTCGACCGATGCCTGTGCCTACACATGTCAAAGAAAGAAAATTGCAAAGTAACAACCGTATAGGCCAACGAACATCACTCTTAAATTTCTCAAGTATACATAAAAATCAGTTGAATGTTGTAGCCTAAAATTTAAGTCGCTCAGAGAAAGATGTTTTGCTGTTTGTATGCTTAAAAAGTTGCTATTCAAAGGAAAACCTCAATGAGTAATACAGAGTCAGATTCAGTATTGAGAGTTATGGAATCACCTGTCTCGACTGGGACTTCGCGACCTCCTCCGCCTCTCTCTCCCCCTTCCCCTGTCTCCCCTCCTCTCCCTCCTCACCTCCCCCTCCTTCTTCTCCCGACTGCCTCGTGTTGCCCGGCTCTCTGACTCACTCCCTTCTTCCCCAGATGAGGCAGATGGGCTGGACTGCTTAGTTGGAGAATCCGCTTTATCGTTTCGACGATAGTGTCGCTCTTTCCTCTCTTTCGGCATGGCGATCCTATAAAACAGCAACACATACTCCCAACGCAAACGTAAAAGAACACAGCAGCTACAATACAACGCTTTTAGCAAGTTCGGAAGACGGATACAGACGATAAGAGCACTAAGACCACGAGACACTGCTAGGCTCACCTTTACACTTGTGTGTATCTCACTCTCCTCTCGAAACAACCGCCACACGTTGACCGAACGTTATGTCAGTGGCAAAGGGGTTAAAGTTTTGTCCGATAACCCTTCCTCTGCGGAATTCAATGTCGATAGAACCAGCTGTGGAAGATCAACTTTTTTACGTGTGTAGCAGCGTTTGCTGCAGTCGTACGCCTGCTATTGAGCCTTCACTATGTGGAACCTGTCTATTAATGAAGATAGGGTTCACTTGGTCAGCAGGAAACCGCCCCAGAACCGTCTCTTCCAACAGTATGACAGCAGAGAGAAAGTGTTAGTTCAGCTCTCCGCCATTCGGTGTCTCTACTGCAGCTTTGTCCCGACACAATCGGACCTCGATAGATGTACGTGATATTTCCTATCTTTGACACTCGACTGTGTGGCTATGTATATACCTAGCAGCTAATGGCGCAGATTTCAAGACGTTTTCACTGGAAGTTGTACATTTCTTCTCATGTCATTCTCAGAGCCTCTGGTGAACTATATAGTCTCAATGCATGACGCTCAATGTATATGTAGCTCTACTTGGAAAGTCGTGACCAGTTTATTAGTTTTGCTGCCAGCAAGGCTCTTATATATGTGATGCTGTACTCCGGAGTGGAGGTATATATTCATAAAGCGTTAGCTAACCCTATTTTTATGGTTTTTTACTTGCACCACAGGCACATATGATTGAAGATATTTTCATCAAGCTTCAGGCTCATACAGACACCCATGGTACATTACACAAGCTGCTACAAGTTACTATTATTATTATTCAAACACTTTCACACGTCTTGTAAATGATTTGTTACTATATTATTCAAAAACTTTCACATGTCTGGTAATTGATTTGTTCAGGGGCAGTATACTGCTTACAGACCATCCGAGAATTTCTCAAGATCTCTCGCAAGAACAATCTTAAACTCACCAACCGAACAAAAGGTGATACATTAGAATTACGTATCGCCTGTACATTTTGGTTCTCTGTTGCAGTTAGTAACCAGTCTACAGGGGATTGTCTGAGGATCATATCATGCAATGGCTACTGGAAATCAACACTGCAACTATTCCTCAATACACACAGCAGAGAATCTCGTATGAATCAGGGACTTCAGCAATCTCTCGCAGAGTTCTTATCACTCACTACCGAACTACTTTGCCACAAATGTGAAGATGTGTCCACCTTCTCTGTTACCAGAAGTATTTGCCACCTCCAGGAGTTCATAGCCAGTAGTCTGCAGCCTCTTCTCTCTCTTGCTGAGAATTTCGCGAGCGTGTTTATTTTAAAGAGGTTTATCGATGTGTTGCTAAAGGTGAAGCAGGTTTTCTCTGCAAAAGAGGTTTCCTCCGTAGCTCAGGTTCTTACAAAGCTATTCAGAATACCTCTAGCCCAGTCTGTTCTGTGTGAGTGGCTAGAGAGACATGCCGAACTCCTTCAACTGACGCTTTCCACTAGACCACATCTTGCAGAGGATAATATTTGTCGAAGTGAAATTGAACTAGTTGACATTTCAGTGAGAAAGACCATTCTCTTGGTGTTTGAATCTGTTGCTAGCCTTCTCAGAAAGAGCTCCTTATTGCTTCAACCACAAGAACCACCTTCAAATGGTATGTACGTTCCTTCCACACTCATGCACAAAAACGTGATGAGAAACCTGATCATTCTAACTTACAGACTCTGCTAGTACTGTCTGTCTCTATGGTGAGGATCTGAGTGGGGTGTTGTGTTCTCTGTGGGAGCTACTGTCATCGTGTGTGGCTCTGGACCACGGTATGACCCATCACTACACCGTGGTCCTCTACCAGGTGGTGTCTGACGAAGACAGCTGCCTTGTTCACACCCTAAAGGCCTCTACATCAATCTTTAGACTCGCCACTCAAAAGTACGCATTTTTCATGTCAAAAAATATGGATGTTTGTAACAAGGACATTGTGGGTAACAGTAGGATGTCATTCAGGCTGAAATGTCCTACTGCAGAAACAGTGTCACTCTGTAGAACAGCATACATTTCTCTTTCTAGGCAATTTTACACGTGCTATATTTCTCAACAGGTTACGAATGCTCTGTTTTTTTACCTCTGCAGTCCAGCTATACTGGAGTCTGTTCCTGGTCTAAACACGTTTGCGGCTGTTGCTAATGCCCACTCTCTCTGGCTCTGCTTCCTCGAGAGAACTGGCTTTGACCACTCCATGCTGCTGGACCTCATCTTGACCCCCGAGATTGACTTCTCCTCTGCTCTCCACGGCTATCTGACGCTAGTCTGTGAGGATTGGAGTGGGTTTGAGAAGGCAGCCAGTGACTCTACCCTGTTGGGTTCTCCGATGGAGAGAGAGGATATCGGAGATTATTCTACTCCGTCTTCTGAGCTGGAAGATGAAGAGGCCATGGAGGATTATCCGGGCTTTGAGGAAACCCCTGCACTAATAGCTGTGAAGCCTTCCCCTTCATCTGTGGAAACACTTGAAAGAGAGGATGAACCCAAACAAATCACTACCTCTATTATGACAGGGGCACTAGTGGACTATTCCTCTTCATCTGAAGAGGAAGAAGCTGCAGTGGCTGTTGGTCCTCCAACACCTCGACCGTACAAAACCCCCCCTTTTCCTTTCAAGACGCCACGTTTTTATCCTGGTGATACAACAATAGCTCAAACCGCCTCTATTCTTCCAACCAGTGTACCAATACCTTCTCCCCCCTCCTCTCTCCGTCCATCTTCTTCTTCTTCGTCTCTGTTAGAGCAGGTGATGGGTTGCCTGATAAGACTCACAATGTCACTGGAGAGACTGGGCCGACTGGGCAAGAGTGAGCTTATACCACAGACCATTGCCAGCACGCAACTCATCTCTACCATTCAAACAGCAGAGGAACTCTATGAGAAATTATGACACATACATGCTTACTTTTTCATGCTGTACTATAATTTCCGCACGCAACAAGTTGTACATTATTAGCAAGCGAACGTGAGTTTGGTGTTTTCAGCATAGACGTACAGTCTATGATTTCAGATTGTAGTTGCATAGTGTTATGATGTGCTATATATTCACTTCGTGCAATTGCGCAATTCAGACAGCTATGTAGGCACATGCGCACGGGCTTGCTTTGTATGACCAATGGTAGCAGACTGAACTGTGGAAATGTATGCAAAAACCAAAGAGCACTGTGTGTAGCGTGATCCTGGCCAAGAGTATAGTCAAGTGAAGCAGTTTCTGAAATGAAAGCTGACGACATAGTCGTACAGAGCCTTCTGGATAGATATGACAAACGGTTCTGAAGGGTGGAAGATGAAGGCCACCAGGCGTCTGTTGGAAGCCTGGGAGCCAGTCGGGATCCTCACAGCTGCGTTCTCCAGTTGGAACTTGAATTGCCCGCTCTCCCTGGAGAAGAACCTGGCAGACAGAGATCCAGAGAAAAGTGTGATAAAACCACCTTTATCGTGCATGTCGTGAACGAACCTACACACATGCATGGAAACTATAAGCAATTCACGGGGTTGAATATTTTGCCAGTGGGGACCACATTATAGGAAGTGGGACTTGTTCTTGGTAAGAGAGTGTCCTGATGCTATACAGTAGTGCAACTGGCTTGTTTCACATAGTTCCTCCCACTGTTCTAGATAGGTATGGAGTGTGTGGCGATTGTAGCTATGTAGGTGACTAACTTGATAGGGGTATCTCCACACGGCTTTGGTCTCTCCAGAGGAGATATCCACTTGTCGTCGTAGTAGAAGAGAGCCAGGTCGAGATAGGGACTGTTAGAGAATGACTGCGAGCAGACCGGAAGCTGACCAAGCAGCCTACGAGTTGCCTCTGTGCTGCCCCCATACTTAGCACACCTAATGCTCTTCTTGAACTTTTCGTGCAGTGTTCTGCAGTGTTGGTTGTTTGCTAGGGAGCTCATGTCGCGACAGAGAGGGTGAGCAACTGGATATCTGAAACTGTGTGTCTCTCGTAAATCTTCAGGAAACTCTCAGACGTATTTTCGTGGATGCTCAGGATTTCTGTGGTCTTGATGTCGTAGAAGACGTAGAGACAATTCTGGGGCGAGGAATCGGACGGTTTCTGCGTGATTGTTTTCTCGTTTGCGTACTTCAGCAAGAGGTGCCTCTCCCCCAGCAGCTGCACCTTTGAGATGCGGAGGGACTTGAAAGTTGCGTATTTGTTGAAATGGTTCAGCAGCGGGAAACGGTCAGTCTGCGAGGACTGCTCCTCGGCCCGTCTCAGAAGAAAACAGAGGAAGCGGTGCTTGAGTGTGGTGAACCACGCCTCAGCGACGGCATCTGTCGGCAAGAACTGCTCTGGTTCGATCTCGGTCAAGTCGGGGAGAATCATGTTGGTCTCGGGGTAGCAAAATCGGCCAATGTCTTGAAGGTGGGTGAGAGTACCGTTTGATATCTCGAAGAGGTGCATTGTCTGCTGTTGAAGGGAGAGGATGGCCAAGAGAGAGTTACACAGAGAGAGCCCCTGGTTGTGCGAGAGGTTAATCTTGTCATATTTGAACGTGGTCGAATCGGTCACGCACTTACCGAGTATGTCGACGATGTAGACAGTGTAGTCTTCCAGGGTGCAGAGCGAGCTACTTGAAATGGCCTCATTGTTGCCCAGTATGTCAGGCATGTTTGGGTACCCATCATCATCGATTGTTTCAGACGAGACCACGATTGCGTATTGGCAGTCGTCGGTGAAAAGGCTACACTCTCGATTCAGGTGTTCGCCATTCTGCGCCAACCGTATCGTGCAGTGTACTTTGAAAAATTTGTCAAACAGAACCGCAACATTCGCCTCCGATTGCTCCTCCTGGTACAGACTATGCGCTGCACCTGCCCCAAGGTACTCGTACACGACCACGTCCCTCTGGTCGTTCGAGAAGGCCAGCAGGAACCGCCCATCTGGGGAGAACTTCCTCAGAAAGCCTGGGGGACTCAGCACACCTTGCTCTGTGTGGTTCGGGACAATGCAGTGGTACTACATCGAGCGTGTTAGGTGGTAGGACTTGGCTGGCCAGTGAACCAGCAACTGTCTCTCCACCAGCTTGTGCACGAGATTCTGTGAGCGGCCCCGCCACCTACAACGCCTCAGGAACATCCGCTCCACCTCTCTGTTCATGTCGTCCGTTGTGTGCTCCGGGACGCTTCCATTAGCTCCGGTGTCGACGTGGGTACGGAGTTCATCCATTAGCGAGCCTGTTCAGCAGCAGCAGCAGCACCACACCGTAACTTTGCTGCCGACGAGTTGTGTCTCTCGTTGTTCGGTCCGTTTTCTTGAAGCTTGTTGTGTTTACCTGCACGTGACGACGTGTGCCTCTCTCTCTCTAGCTAAAACTGCAAAGTCAGCAATAATAATTTTGATTTAGCGGTTCCTTTTCCCGGGGGTTTTATCCGCGCGTAAAAGCGGGATCTAGTACCTGTTTTGAAGTGAAAAATACTTGTTGGGAGCGCTCAGTGGCGGCAGACCGTGTGTACACTGTTATCGAATGGCCCATTCTTCCTCCCTCGACCACGAGGAGCTGAGAGCCGAGTGCCAGGTTAGCCGTACCCCATGTGTCCACCCTTATCCTGCCGTCTTACCGCGGCCGCTCGCCCCGTTGGCGTTTTACTCTCCAGTAGAGTTTGTGTTGTGTTTATTGAAGGGTGCGTTTATTAGAGTACTTTGAAATGGGTACAGTATTCACTCCGTCTCTGAATGCGTGGAGCAGTTGGCCTCTTAGTGAGAGAGCACTTAGCATTACTGTTGTAGGTGTGCATGAGAACGCAGACATTCTGTTTTGGTTATTATTTAGCAAGTGAGATGCAATTGCAATGGTGAAGTCAGAGGTCAAAGTGTTTTGGGTCAATATTATTACAGTATGCCTTCCCTGTATTGAGGAAGTAATGGTTTCTTAGGCATCATCAATCAGTCTGTATTCCAGTGTATACCTAATGTGTGGAGCATCTTTGTACGTGGGAGATTGTTCCTTTGATGTGGTTTTGCTGAGGACACTCACCAAACCACAATCTCCTAACATGGGACATGACTCATTCCTCTTCTCTCTTTAGGGGCTATTGTACATACCTCCTTGTTAATGAGTCTATATGTACAGGTGGTGTACTATACTGTACATACTGAGATTAAATAATCTCCTCCCAGCAACCAATTGCTTCCCCAAAGTTTACACAGTCAGTAGTTTTGCTGGCATTTCCTCATTGCATTCAAACTTCCATACCAAACCTTTACTGGATATTACGGTTCTTTGGGGAGTTTTTTTAGGCCATGATGGGGGACTAGAACTGATGTGGGGACCCCTCAATGCAAGTTTATCCATGTGTCTGTTTGCTTTCAGTTCTGGGTTAGTGAGTGATGGTGTTTACCCAATGGCATAGTTCACCAGCTACCAACACACCCCTCCTTATCTTGGGGGGATAACCCTGGGCAAATCAGAGTGTCAGTCAGTGTATAGTCCCTAGGGAATGGGAGGCATTGAATAGTATATAGCCCACCTGGCCATGTCTGGTACATGTGTGTACATCTGTTCTTGCTTGCATAGAATGTGCATCATAGGCACCCAGTCTTGTTTGCTGTATATATGGATCAAGTAATTGGGCAGGATAATGTAGAAAAGGCTGACAAGTGCTGTATATATTAGCTGTATCTTTATACTGGTGGGTGTAGTAGTATCTTGCACGGCCTGCATTGTGTGTGTCTCAAACTTTTGCCTGCATGTCATCATCAAAGAGAGGGTCAGATTTTATATACTGTTGTGGCATGATATCTATTCTTGTCGAGCTGCATACTGTGTGATGTAACCCTATAATTTCGAAGGTGTAAAGTGTTCGCAAACAGTAGTTTTTTGACGATTCACGGAAACAGTTGTTCGTATCGTTGATTGAGAGACACCTCACGAAAACCACAAATGCTATTTCAATTTTTTCACTCATTTGACCGTGTATTGTTCCTCGGTGTATAGTTACTTAGTACAATGGGATATTCTCTAGGGACCTGTGTTTCTCTCTCTCTCCCTCCCCAGCGCTACCTCACCAGCTTCCGAGTACTGGAACTAAAAGAGCTACTGAAGCAGTGCGGCCAATCAACAAAGGGACGGAAATGGGACTTGTTCCAGCGCGCAAACGACATGCTGCAATTCGGGAGTAACAAGATTCAGACCAACATTAGGGAGATTTACGACAAGTCATACAGTCGACTACAGCTCAGTTACGGAAGATCGGGGCATAAGATTTGCTCTCCGGTAAAGAGCGGAGAGTCAGTGATAAAGATCATCTCTCGGGCACACATTGTGCATCCAGATGTGAAGTTTAAGGCTCATCCCTTCTTCTCCAACTTGGAGACCATCATAAGACCCATAGCACTGGGTTAGTTAGTTTGTGACTCTGGATTGGTATGTATATAGATTGGTTTGTGCCATATCTATTGTACAGTAGGTAGGCAGAATATTATGTTTGTGGACTGTTGCAGGAGGTGTGGGTACAGTGTGAAGGAGGGACTGCTAAGAATTTGTTTGCTCCCTTGAAGTGTGTGTGTTTGTATGTGTGTGCACGCATTAAGCATTCTCAGTGAGCCCCCCCCCCCTCTCTCCTGCAGTATCATCCGCAGTGTCAGGCCACAGCAGTGTGAGTATGAAAGTAAAGTTTCATCTCACTCCTCAGCAGATACACCAGATATACATCTCCAAGTCAGTAGCCATGTATAATACATACATACAACACTGTTTGTAACCCACAAGGCTTGTACATGTGCAATAATAACAGCTAAACTGTTGGGTTTGGTCATTTTAAGTACGTACACGTACGTCTGTGAAACAGTTTTTGTGGTAGTTTTAACTCATAGTGTCCCATTCCTTCCTGAACAGGACATCAACCGGGACGTACCAGACACAGGTATTAATGAGGTCAGCCATTCATCTATAAAACCACACGGCTGTATTTTACCGTCTCTCCCTACGATGCCAGGTTTTGCCTCCAAGAGACGACTTGTGACCAGAACGACTACTACCCCAAGCAGTGCTACGTGAACGTCAACAGTCACAACTGTCCCATTGCTGTGAGCTCTCTCTCTCTCTCCTTATTCTTTCACTCCCTCTCTGCCGTACTTTACTCCCTCGTCCCCCTCTCTCCTTCCCTCCCTCTCCACCTGTCCTCACTTTCTCTGAGTTCCTATGCCGTTTCCCTTTGAGGAGGGTGCAGGAAAAGTGGCAGAAAAGAACAATGAAAAGCAGGCTTGAAGTTAATTGCACTTCCTGTAGCTTGCCTTGTGACAAAAATGTGTGTATGAATAGGTGGGAGCAAGCTGTTTGTTCGCAGCGTCTATTCTTCCCCCTCCTCCCCCCACTTCCTCTCCCTCTCTCTCTCTGTCATTCAGGGCTACCATCCTCACCTGTCCACCAGACCAGACTACAAGAGAACCGGACAGCCTGTTAACATCACAAACTTTGTCAAGACGAGTCCGACTGAGATCAATGAGGTCACCATCTTCTGGGCCCCTGACTTCATGCTACCACTGGTATATACATATACTAGGAATGCGCACACGCATATTTTGCCTTGCGCCTGCCAGCCTGCATCTTTGCTCCTTTCAGATTTCATCCTCTACTTCGCCTCACTTTCCCCATTCTCTGCCTCCCAGCAGCGGCGTGTACGAAGGCTTGTAGCACACAGCTGACTGCTCACCCCCTCCACCCACAATTGAACTAGGCATGCTCAGCTGGTGAGGCTGAAGAAGGCGCTGTGTAAACTGAAGCTATGGACTCCAAGTAAACTCTTTCCTCTCCTGCCCTCTCCTCCTCTCGCTCTCTCTCCTTCTTCCCCCCTCTCTCTCTCTCTCTCTCTTTCTCTCTCTCCCTCCAGTGACCAATGCAACAATTTGGTCCATCGTCTCGTCCTCCATTTTTCCAGCCAGCCCTCTCCTCCCCCCTCCCACCTTCACTCCCCATCCAGTGTCATCTCCTCCATTACAAGTAAAAACCACCTACATAGTACACAAAACTAGTACGAAGATCTTGAAGGTGTTAGAACGACCTTTTGCATTCATTTGTCACTCATTAACTGAGAACCTAACATCTGACACACACTTGCAATATTCAGCAACATGCTTTTAGAGTGTAGCTATGGTAAAAAAATACTACACTTTGCCTCATGTGCTCATGATTTAATCTGTGTGCATCACATTAAGTTGATGATGTTGTGTAATCTTCACTTGTTGTTTGCAATTCTGAAGTTGCTGCCGTGTACTTGTAAGTCTTAATGTGTTTTGTGTTTGTACATGTGAGTGTATTACAAATGCTGTTTTCCTCACTTCTACAGCTGGTATTTGGTCGATGATGTCATCAACAGCTGCAGCCACCCAGCCTCCCTCCCCACTGGCCGACGGGGCCGTGCTACTCCTATTAGTGCTCACCCACCAGCAGATGAGTGGCCAGAATCAGTACCGTCGGGCCCTGCTACAGTTCACTGACGAACACAGCAGCAGGAAGACCAGAGCCCCGTTCTCTCTCAACCTCCAGAAACTCTACCTCTCTCTCTGCAAGTCAGTAAAATGCTTACTTGTGTGTTTTTCCCCGTTTTCTGATAATTACCAGCCTCTGTACCTATCTTCCTCTCCCCCTGTCTTCCTTTTTCCTTTCTGTCCAACCTCTCTTGTTGGCGAGCAGGAGTTATGTAGTATATAGTAGTGGTCCAAACAGTTGCAATTTTCGACATTGGTGCATCGTCTAACTGTACTGCTCTGTCATTTGGATTACTCATTTCTTGCATGTGCAGTAGTGTGTCTGCAGCTATCTTTCCCACATCGCACAAATGCTCTGCATTCGTGTAATAGTCTCTTTTCTTCTGCCTCCCTCGCTCCACTCCATTTCTCCCTCACTCCACTCCATTCCCTCCCTCCCTCTCTCCATCCCTCCAGTAACCTGTCGGAGCAGACGACTCTTCTCCTCTATCTCCTGCTACAGGGAAATCCTCACGTCGCATCTTTCATCTTCTCTCGATCTGACATTGACCTTCTGGTGAGACCTCCATTCTTACTTTATAACTATTGGAGTCTTCAGCTTGTACCTATCATATTCTGTCTTTTTGTCTGTCTAGTCTCTTGCCTCTCTCTCATTATACTGGCAAGAAATGTACTAAAGTCTTACAAAGTTGACAAAGCTCATGTGTGATTATCAATGTCACACTTTAAAAGTTATGTAATGTGTCAGGACTAAATTTAGAAATGCTACTAAAGAGGGCCCAGTGCAAGAATGCAATTAAGTTTCCGCGTTTTAGTTTCGAAATTTAGCCCTTATCTCCTGTACTGCCACATTCCCTTCAATTCCTAGTTTTCTCACTCCCCAATTACGTTTACTCTAGTTGCATGCTCAGACTTCATTCTTGGCCCCCTCCTCCCCCTATATCAGGTGGTTCCTCTCCTCCATCATCTCCATGGCTCCAGTCAGCAGCCCTCCAGTGCCCATCATGTCTACATGCTGCTCATTGTTCTCCTCATCTTCTCTCAGGACGACTGCTTCAACAAGTCCATACACGAACTGGTACATTTGCAAATACAGTGGAACCTCCGAACAAGGGATACTATGGGGACAACGATTTTGTCCTTTGTAGAGAGGTCGTCCCTATCTCTGAGGTCAAATAATACACTAAAGTGTTAGCGTGGGGTTGAAACAAGTGTCCTTTGTGGAGAGGTCGCCCCTCTCTCGGAGGGTCCTTTATCAGAGGTTCCACTGTATCTCCCTCCCCCATTTCCTCCCCCCAGCATCTCCAGAAGGTGGAGTGGTACTCTGAGAGATCACTGACCAACATATCAGTTGTAGTCTGATGGTGATAGTCCTGGTCAGAACTATTCAGGCCAACATATCCCACATTCAGGATACACAATAGTACATGTACAGTATGTACGACTAGCAATGTGTTTCAATATTCTCCTCTCTCTCTACAGGACAAGTACCTCCACACCAACTGTCTTGCTGCACTGGCTAACATGTCTTCCCACTTCAATTCCCTTTCATCTCGATGCCGCCCAGAAGATTGTCACGTAAGAGAAATTGGTTTAATGGGAATGTGGCAGTGAACAATGGTTAAACTTAGAAATGTTACGTACAATTGATTGAGATTGAAACTAAACAATAGGTAAGTGCAAGGATGCATTTAGGCTTCCTTTTTAACATATCTACGCCCCATGCTACATTCAGTTTAACTGATTGGCTGAACATTTATACTGTTGCTATACTGTAATGTTTAACAATAGACATAATATGTGAGGGGGCATGGGAAAAGGACCTATGTATATGGCTGGAATGTGAAAATTGAGTTTTTGAGGGTGAAAAACCACAAAAATTAATTTTCACATTCCAGCCATATAGGTCCCTTTTCCCATGCCCCTCACATGTAAGTGTGTTAATACATGTAACGTCCCCACGTTTCTATAAACTGAGCATTTGTGGACTGAACTAATGTAGCAGCCTGAAACTGTTACATGCCCTGGTAGCTCATTTTGGTAGAGCGTCGCCTAGACTGCAGAGTGTCGTGGGTTCAAATCCACCCAGGGCAGCTCTCCTTCTTTTTCTTTGAAAAGAAAGACTTTCCTGGGTGTAGTTGACTTGTTTGCCTTGCCTTGCCTTTCTAGTCCCTCGTTACCATGTTGTTGAGGCAAGCAGTAAGTTGTGCGTATATGGGCCGAATGAGATGAAATGAAGGTAAAGTTGTGTTTTTGCAGGTTGTTCAAGCAACTGGCTAAAAAAGTACCATAGGATGATACAGAAGACCACACCTACAACCACGCCCACTTCAGCCACACCCCTATCCCCAGACTCTGAGGCTGTGAGAGAGTGCAGATTATGTGAGTTACTTGTACATTATCATTACCCTCGGTGCGCATGCGCAGCGAGGGTACTGTAGTTGGGTTTGTCTGTCTGTCTGTCTGTCTGTTACTCTCAATCTCACTTCTGGAATGCCTGTTCGTCTCACAAACGATACGACCTACTTAACGGGCAATGAAGGTCAGAAATTTCGAACGGTTTTCTCTGAAAATGCTTCGTTGCAAAGCTAGAGCGCATCCAGCATTGTATGGCTAATGCCGGTAGTCGCCATTTTATCGCTGGCGGATAATGCGCATGCGCTTATATTTAGCACAGGCGGCTTACCTCGACCGGGTCCACTTGCTCTGTCTATCTTGAAGGCACAAGAAGTCATCTCGCTCGCGTGCTTATATCTACTACTGTAGCTAGCCCGTGTCAGACTCTCTGCGAGCTACTTCGCCGAGGGTTTGCACTTTAGTGCTTTTCATTAACTCTGCATTATTAGTACGGTAGAATCTCCAATAAGGACACACCGACAGTAGAAAAACACTCAATATAAGACACACTTTCAGGTGCCAAGCATCACTTTTCCCATTATTTGACGCAATGCCAGGTCCCAACATGTTCATTATTCAGGGGTTCCACAGTAATTACAAACAAGGCAAGTGTATATTGTACATACCTCTAGTCATATAATACATATCTCCAGAGTACAGAGGTGGGGGTAGTGGAGGAGATTCTGGTGATGATACTAGAGATTGTCAACTCGTGTCTGTCACATCGTCTGGCGACCAACCCTCACCTGGTCTACTGCCTCCTTTACCAGAGAGAGGTGTTCTCTCCTCTACACACCTCCCCTCTCCTCATGGACCTCGTCAGGAACATCCTCAGTGTGAGTTTCCTTCTCTCCCTCTCCTTCCTTTAGAAATATTCCGTTTCACAACTTGATATCTGCATAAGAAACATTCAGAAAAACTAGTGCAAATTCACTCTAGTGTTGTATGCGTACACTGGAACCTTCTGAACAATGGACACTGTGGGACCAATGATATTGTCCCTTGTAGAGAGGTCGTCCCTATCTCATAGGTCAAATAATACACTAAAGTAGTATTAGCATGGGGTTGAAACAAGTGTCCTTTGTAGAGAGGTCGTCCCTATCTCATAGGTCAAATAATACACTAAAGTAGTATTAGCATGGGGTTGAAACAAGTGTCCTTTGTAGAGAGGTCGTCCCTATCTCATAGGGTCCCTTATCAGAGGTTCCACTGTAGCTATATGTGACTTCAAATTCACCCAGATGTTGTACAGTACCAGTCAGAAAAAACTATATACACTACGTTTATTACAAAAACTACGCTGTGTAATTCCAAACAGTTTGTACTACACTACAATACAGTACATTGCAGTAGTGTAAACTCTGGGTACCTGGATACACTGGATATTACAGTACGTTTGCATGTCCACATACCAATAGGGCACATAGAGATGCAAGGACTCACCAGGAGTGTTGGTAGTAGTGGTAGTGAAGACAGGAGGAGAGGACAGGGAGAGAGAGGGAACACTAGTTTTAGCAAAGGGTTATGACAAGTGTCCTTTGTAGAGAGGTCGTCCCTTATCAGAGGTTCCACTGTAGCTATAGCTGTGACTTCAAATTCACCCAGATGTTGTACAGTACCAGTCAGAAAAAACTACACTACGTTTATTTGTAGTTACACAAAAACTACTCTGTGTAATTCCAACACTTTGTATTACACTACAATAAGATTGCAGTAGTGTAAACTCTGGGTACTACCTGGATACACTGGATACTACAGTACGTTTTTGTAGTGTAGTGTGGTTTGGTTTAACCACTTTGTATTTTTGGTGCGTTTTGTCTGACTAGTACCCCTTATGTGTGTAGGTGGTAGAGTTTTTCTCAAAAGAAGTTGGAGGAGAGTGGGCCATCTCCCTATTCCTCTCCATTTGTCCTGGAGACCATCATCAGATGCTCTGCCACCTGGCCTCACCACAGACTACGGGTATGAACACTACTACAACTCTCACACCTTTCTTTTCTCTGTCATGTCACCCACTTTTCACATGACTACCTATATATGTATCAGTTTAGTGTTGGCACAATTCCAATCAAACGCCAAACTATAATATAGCTAATGTGGTGGCTTTGGAAGTATATACAGTAGCCACAAACCTCCAACTCCTTGTATCAAGTATATAGTGCTTTGCGCATAATGTTGTAGCTAGCTTAACCAAACTCTTAGATAAGAAATTAAAATCCCTTGCTTGTTGCCCTAACAGATAATTATGATACGTTCTAAACTTATAGCCGTTTTGGTCTGTAGAATCATCTTGGCCCTATCATATAATAATACCATGTAGTAGGCTTTTACATCACCACCTCCTTTCTGATAAAACGTTTCAGTCTATTGAAAGGTTTCCCCTGACAGATATTTAGTTAGGCTGTGACATCACCACCTCCATTCTTTTTTGCCTACACTGCAGGTGTTTCCAGAGCTAAAGTTCCGCTACGTGGAAGAAACTCAACCGGAGGAATTCTTTGTGCCCTACGTGTGGACCCTAGTCCACAAGAACTCTCCTCTCCACTGGCAGCAGTTTCATGTCTCCTCCTCTCCCTCCTCCTCTTCTTCCATCACTCCTCACTGACACTTCTCTACTCCCATCCCCGATTCTCATCCTCATCTTTTGCATCAAATAATTGTCATTAATGACGTCTAACACGGTGAATATGCTCAGCATTCTGCTATATTAGGTGGGGGAGTGGTAAAGTTTGTGCACGTGGGTGTAGAGTTGGGGGGTGGTGGGGCAATGGTTGCACGCATGCGCGTTGAGCATCGTCTTGCGTTAGCCGGCCACACCCAAACATAACCTTCGTGGGCGTGGTACGACAAGAACGCTCCAGCGCTTTATGGCGGAGCCACGTCCACAACTAGCCGAGTTGTCTCGTGCCCTAGACACTCTCTCCCAGGAGAAGGTCCGCTACCTGTGCGCGGAGCTCAGAGTTCCTCCCGCCACTCTCAGCAACATCGATGCCAGTCATCCCGCAGACCCCCCCCCCGATGTATCGCTGAGTATCTGGAGGCCTTACTGGCGTATGATGAATCGTTGTCCTGGGAAAGAATCGTGGAGGTTCTCAACTCCAGCAGACTCCGACAGCACACTCTCGCGGCCACGATAAGGAGAGAATTACTGTGCGTCGTAATGCCGCCCGCCGACGGGTTGGTTTGACTTACTCCCTCACTCATCGATTCCCGCTCATATAAGACAGGGTGAATTTACTGGCCAGGGAACAAGACTTTGGCGTAACGTGCATGTAAATGAACCTCCGTCCCTACAATACTTCAAGTGATACTGTGCTTTCTGCCAGTAGGCGTCGCTGAAACATGTAGAGGTTTCTTCTGGCGTCTTGTCATGGAAATACACGATTTAGAGGCCTCGAGCCCTTAGACGTCTTCGCTTGCGCTTCAGACAGCTAGCTCAGGGCCCCTCGTGCCGTATAAATAATGACGTAGACAGTAGAGTCCTACCTCTTCCGCGGGTAACTATTTCGCTGCAGAGGGCGGCGCTTTTCGTACGGTATTGCCTAGTGACCGACCCCGCCCCGCCTCCTCCGGTCCCTTCTTTCCATTCGAGAGACAGCTTGTGCGTGTCGGTAGGAAAACGGAGCTTCTGGAGTGAGTTTTTCTCACGAAAACCCAGGTACTCTGGTTCTTCCAGTAGGGAAGCGGTTGCAGAATAACGGGCCCTGCAAACTGGAGGCCAGAAGCGAACGGCTAGCAGTTGCGAAAAGAGCCAGGCGGCCTCGCCCTACTTCGCGGTGAGCGAAGCCTCGCCGCCTTAGAACACAATACTCTCTACTGCTGGGTAGACGGGCCTGCTGGGTATATTGAGTCCGTGTTGACGTCTGCCCGTAACTGGCTTTGTTGGGCCGCTGCACAAATAGCCTGGTAAGCCGTCTCATCCCTAATGCAGGCGTGCGTTTCAAGTGTGCTGCGTTGCTGTGTACTTACTCTAAAGGGGTTAGATGGGTTGCCTGAGGAACTACGAGATTTAGTGGGGCTCGGGGCTCTGGTAGTAGACGCCTGGTGTTCGCTTCGGAAGGCCTACAGAGCATGGGGCCCTGTCGTCTCACTATAATCGGCGTTAGTTCTCGCGGCCCCCCGACATCTAACCTTACTCGTTCGAGGGAACTAGTGGATTCCTAGGGGCCCCCGCGCAGTGTCCCGATGTGCAGAGGGGGCACACTATGAGGCCGGATAGAGGGTTGATAGAAATTCCTAGTTCCCGAGGTATTACGGGTAACGTAACGCAAATCTGTATACACACATCCCCCGTTCCAGAGTGCGGACTGCAATTCGTGATTGATAGACGCACAGCATGGGCTCCGACGTGGTTGCATGTCGCAGTGGGGATAAGGCTTCCGTCGCCTAACTGGGTTAGGACTGGAGATCTGATGGATTAACGGTTGTAAAATTAATAGTACCGCGGCGGCTCACCATTGTTCAAGCTGTGCTGGAGCTATGACGCCTTTTTCTCAGTGCGAGAAACAGAAGATGCTGACTCTATGAGCTCTGGAGTCTGTCGACTTACTTCTCACAGCAGGCTACCGCGGATGTATGTGGAGCCACGCTACTGCAAGTGGTATATATAATATACCAGCCCCTCCTTCTACGCTAAACCGCACGCGGAGCAGCGGATGCGGGTTATATACGCAGATTTGTGATGGGCACAATTGTGCTGTTGACGACCTGCAAACACCAATAGACAGCGCTTTGAAAGAGGTGTATGTGAAAAAAAAAAAAAACACCAAATCTGCATCTGATTGATCGATTGTGCGTGTGTGTCTGCGGGTCTAAGATTGTGGGAGGATGAAAGCTAATTAGTACCAAGTTTCTTGTTAGACCATGTTGTGATGCTGTCGGTTTTCATTGTTAGAAAATTTGTACATGAAAAAACAAGGTTTTTATATGACAAAAACTATCATTTTTTCATGTTGTTTTGCTAGGTCGAGGGTTTAATATGAGAAATGAGGGAAACCGACAAAATTGATTGGTCAGTTCAAACTAGCTATCACTAAATATAGGGCAGCTTACACGCGCGCCTTACGGAGAGGAGTAGCCTATTGTGTGTGAATGCAGGAGGAATTTGCCTCACAGGCACAAAACCGCTCTTACTGGTAATAGGCATTCTTGTCAACATTATAGTCAAGGCGGGTGTAGCCCATCTAGTATCGCACACCACGTGGCTGCTTTCTTTCGAAGTGATGCTTCTAAATGTCTCAGAA